AAACCGGATTCAAACCCGGTCTTGATTTATATTATTGACCATGCCGGATTTTTCTCGAGGCCTGGGTGGGTAGTTGGGGGCGGATGGTGACTTTAAAATATCTTAAGGGCCAAAAGAGAAGAAAGGGCTCATATTTGTAATAATGAATATTTTGATTTCGTAATATAAGCGTATTTTTAAGTTAAAGTAAGGGTTAAACCAGTTATAGTCTTTAAATAATGGGACGGAGTGGTTTAAACTAATTTTTTTATAGAAATGGATAAAGGTTAAAATTAACCCCCCCCCCCCCAACCTCCTCATTATGAACCTCTTGATTTTAGTATATATATTATTTTTTTTATAACTCTTAATATAAATCGGTTTACTCACTTTCTGACGATACTTAATATAAATAATTGATATAATTAATACAATTCTGATTACAGGATGTTAAATAATATATGGCAAAAAAAAATTTTTCCTTAGCTTTTCATCTTCTCCAATTATCAGCAGGCTTTACGCCTAGTTGAGTAAATTGGTCATAATTAATTTTTTTATAAAATGGAATTTTTAATTTGAATGAAAATTTGCAAGTGGTTTATAAAGTTTTTATGTATTAGAATATACAATATCAAAGATCTGCTGCAGAGGTACCATTTGCAAGGCCCGGCCCGGATTTTTAAAAAAATTTTTCCTTAGCTTTTCATCTTCTCCAATTATCAGCAGGCTTTACGCCTAGTTGAGCAAATTGGTTATAATTAATTTTTTTTTTTATAAAATGGAATTTTTAATTTGAATGAAAATTTGCAAGTGGTTTATAAAGTTTTTATGTATTAGGATACACAATATCAAAGATCTGCTGCAGAGGTACCATTTGCAAGGCCCGGCCTAGATTTTTAAAAAATATATTATATTTATTTTTGATTTTTATAGCTACTAATAGCGATTTCAAATATTTAGTTTTAAAATATACGGCCCAGCCCGGATATCTTCATAAAATTATTTGGGCCGGACCGGACTTTGGGTCGGGCCTGCAGGTTTCTGATATATTTATAAAAAGGCGTCACCATATCTCTAAAGAATTGTTAGCTATAATTTTAATTTTATTTGTATAAACATAAATTTAACCGAAATAAAAATTTATCCAATAATTTTAATTGATAATTTTTTTTTTTTACCATGTAATCTTTATTATAATTATTTTATAATCATTTTTTTTAACAACATGTGATTACGGCCCGGCCTGTACCCGGTCAGAACGGGCTTCGAGCCGGGTCGATTTTTTTAAAAAAATCCGGTCCGGGCTGGGTCGGGCTTTAGAAATTTTTTCAAATATTTCTAAATTTATCAATTTTATGTTGAATTTTTTTATGTAAAATAAAGATATTTGATTTTGCCATCCATACAACATAATATCGTTTATTTTGAGTAATAATAAAAATTAATTTCTATATTTAAAAAAAATTTCGGCCGGGCCGGGCTTGAAAAATTAGGCCTGATGCAGATCACTAATGATAATATCCCTAGATAGTACATATGAAAATAGGGCAAAATTGATAATGCTCGAATGTAGCCAAGAATTAATGTTATTTATCGGGAATTTAATAATTTAAAATTCACGTCAAACTCAAAAAATACCGACATACATTATTAAAAATTCTGAAATTTATAAGTGACTATAAATTCTCAACTTGGAATAGGAATTAGGAATTTATATCATGATTCATCCTTTAACATTTTTTTTAAAATTTATTTTAGCCAACCACCACCAAACATCATATTAGTTTATGCTCTTCTAGTAAAACGACTCAGATATATATTTTAAAACTAGTGTCGTTTAACTCAATAGTATATCCAGGAAAATATTAGGCCAGTTTGAAGATTTTGCTCATAATTGACATAAAGGTTCTTAGGTGATATTTTTCTTGCTAAAATGCTGAGTAAACTGTTTTTAAAAATGGGCTCAAAAATCAAACCGATTAACAAAGCTACCAAGATTGGCATTAATAGAAATGAGGAAATTTACAGATAATATATGATATTAATAATAGTAACAACAATAAATATTCCAATTATTTAAAGGGAAAAGTTAAAATAATACACTTACTTCGGCGCTGTCAAATGGTGTTTCATTTATTATCATTATAGTTAACTTTTAGTTAAAAAATATAAATTTCAGCATGATTATGAATAGCTCTAAGAAATTCTATTCCAGATATCAAAAAACAAGATGTTTGTTGGGAGCGAATACTATTGAATAATGAATTACAATATTCTTAATTGTTATTATGAAATTTAGCAGATCAGATGTTAAAACAATAGTCAACAAGATTTGCGACGAAAATGATGAAAGCAGAGGAAGAAATTGGAGTGGTTTATACGAAGGATATATTCTAGTGGGTTAGAAAAGAAGCTTTGTGCTAGATTGTGACCCATACCGGGCGATAAGCTCTTGGAGTGTGTAATGAAAGTTTTTGGGGGTGGTTTTGGAGAAGAGAATGCGATAGTAAGTGAAAACCAATGATATGCAGCTTAGTTTTACACCTAAGGAGCTCCGATGCGATTTGTGGTGAGACAAATACAAGATAATTATCTGGCAAAGAAGGCACTTTATTACGCTTGTGTAGAAGGAGGTTGCGTTTGACAGAGTACCATATAAAGTTGCTCATAGGCTTTGAGAAAATTAGGTGTAGAGGAGTAGTTGGTTTTGGCAGTGATGGCAATATACGAGGATTCCCGAACTGTTCTTAGGACACATGATGGTGATATCGAGAGCTTTGAGGCAAGGGTTGTGCTACATCAAGGATCAGTCCAGAGTCCGTTATTATTTATCATAGAAATGGAGGTGGCGACAAAAGAGGTACTTCTAGGACAACCTCGGGAACTTTTATAGGCTGGCGAACTTGTACAACCAGCAAAAAGTAAAAAATTAAAAGATAAGATGATCATATGGAAAACTATTGGTTCAAAGTAAAGGATCAGGAAATAAGGAAGAGACATGCAATCGGTCATTTTTAAGGGAAAGGTATTGCTAGGATTAAATTAAATTTAATGTAGCAGCTGAAAAAAATTGGTTCGTGAAAGATGTAATAGTGAGAAAGGAAGTTTGATGAGAGCGAGAATGTCTTTTACCTGTACAACATGCGTGAATGGGGTTGATAATGATAAAGTAAAAAAAATGGTTTTGTTATCGGTAATAGAACTAATTTGAGAAAGTGGGAAAGTTTTGTTATTTGGGCCGCGATGGAAGCAGATGGAGGTGCTGATTCTGCTGTTGTTGCAACTGTTAGATATGCATAGAAGAAGTTCCTTAGAGATCCCGTCTATTCCCAATTACATATTTCTGAAGCTGAAAGGAAAGGAAAGGTTTGTGTAAGCTGAGCGTGAAGTGTATAGTCTTCGGTGGCGAAACCTTAGTAATAAAAGCGGCGCGTGAAGCTAAATTAAGAAGGAACGAGATGAGAATGGATAGATGCAAATGTGGCGTATCTATGAGAGAGAGAAACAGGACACATTACGGAAAAAGATTTGCATAGAAGCACTTCGAGTGATAATGAGTAGAAGTAGGCTGAAGTGGTTTGGGCACATTGAACGAAAGGCAAAAATGATTGGATTAAGAGATTGCACTTCAATGAAAGTAATAGAGCCAAGGTTTTGAGGACAATAAAGATGCGAAAGTGACAACGCGTGACATGAGAATAGTGTGCCCTACAAATAGCGACATCCATGACAGTAAAAAGTAGAGAGTAGGAATTAGCGGGTAAATCTGGAAAAACCACCACTATATCATAAAGAAGAATGGTGCATTTTGTTTTTATCCTATTTATATCATATATATATAGCAATTTTTACATAAAATTTGATATAACATTATTTGAGAAAGCCATTAACTAATAGTCAATAAAGCCCTATTTAAGCTTCTTTGAGAAGACCCTGGTGTAGTGATGAAACGGAGAGTAATAATCATATCTCTTATCTTGATACTTCCGTAAACTTTTGTATCATCTATTTACACCTTAAAATTTTGACAACTAGAAAAAATTGAATTCCCTATTAAAGATATGAGACGAAGAAGGAAAGAAAACATATATGTTTATTAAATTATAAAAAGACCAGTGAAATATTTTTAGTTCAATGAAGATTTTAAATAGTGATTAGTAAATCAACGTATGTGATGTTTTCAGAATTCTCTCGTAAGTACCTCTGAATTAATATTTCTATAATTCCTAAGCAACGTTGATCTGTGCTGAAAATTCATTAAAAAATATGTAAAAATATAGTGATAACCAAAATAAATTGCTGCCTTTCTGTGACTGAGTTGTTTCAGGCAAACTTGATATTTATAAATAAAATTAAAACCGCTACATATTAGTGTTTATTAAAGTTGGCTAAAAGAAGCATTAAGTATTTAGTTTCAAAATTTAGGGATCTTATTTGCATGCAATCAAGGTTAATATATTCCTGTTTCGTCGATATAATAATATTTTAAGAAATTAATTTAAAATTTAAATAATCATTGATATGTCCATAGTGATGGCTCAAGTTTAAGCTAACTTTTTTTTGTTAGGTTTGATTACTTGAATTGCACTATTGACTAGTAATAGGCTGATTTGGTTGATTACTTTTCAAATTCATTTTAATCAATAAATTTAATTAAAAATAGTGACTTTAGCTTATACTGGTAGTGGTTAATATAATTTAAAAAAAAATAGAAATTAATTAAATACTAAAAAATAAAAAATTTATTTAATAATGACAAATTCAATTAAAATAACTGGATTTTTAAATTTTTTTTTACTTCCTTTATTGAACAATATTATTTATAATTAAATATATAATTAAATAAAATTTGTATTATATATAAAAAGGTTACATTTTCTACATAGCGCTATACTTTATAAAATTTAAAAAAATATATTTTAAATGATTTTGGCTAAACCTGAATTCATAAAAAAATATGGCCTAGTATAATAAAATTTAATTTTTTAGCATCGGTAATCCCCTATCAGTGTTTCTGTCTTTTATAGTGCAGTATTTCTATGTATAGTCGATCTAATTTTACTATGCGAAAGCTGACTGAACCCTAAAAGATTGTCATTTTTTAGGTAATTTTTGCACCAGGAATATTCGAATTTTCTAAGCAATGCCTAAAAAAAATAATAACGAACAATAGCATTTATATTATATTTATCAATAAATTGTAAAAGAAAATATAAAATGCTGGAGTATTAGGCCACGAAAAATTAACCCATATGGAGATTGGTCCCTCAGTAATATTGAGCCTCGAAAAATTGGCCTTCTAGAATATTCTCCAGAAAACACTGGCCTCTGTTTACGTAAATTTTAAGAATATCATTAATATAAATTTTGTAAAATGTTAATTAATAATGGATGATTCTTAGATGGGTTTCTAAACATTAATTTTTGACAAATTTATGTAATAATAGCATTTGTACACTTTAAATTTTGTCCAATAGAAACCGCTTAAGCAGGTTTAGAAGTCTAGCAATATTTGCAGCTGTCATTTTTCATGCTTGCCATAGATTATAAGACGATTTATCAATTTTTTTATCAGAAGAATGGAACATGTCATTAAGAGCAAAAAAAGTTCTTTTATTTCTAATATTGTATGAATATTTCAATATTTGGCTCATCTCAATTTAATCGCTTTACCATCATTTTTTTTTAAGAAAATAATAATATTAATATTTTTGGACATTAAAGAAGAGTTTTAAATTTTTTTGGGAAAACCGATTTTTATTGGGGATAAATTTCTTACTGCTCAAATATTTTAGAGACCGAATTTTCCCGGGAGGCAATTTTCCGGGGGCCAATTTTGCGCGGGAGATTTTCGTGACCAATTTTCCGAAGGCAAATGAGCCTTTATTTATCCTATCCTCTAGACAAGAAAGAAAGAAAGAAAGAAAGAAAGAAAGAAAGAAAGAAAGAAAGAAAGAAAGAAAGAAAGAAAGAAAGAAAGAAAGAAAGAAAGAAAGAAAGAAAGAAAGAAAGAAAGAAAGAAAGAAAGAAAGAAAGAAAGAAAGAAAGAAAGAAAGAAAGAAAGAAAGAAAGAGAAAGAAAGAAAGAAAGAAAGAAAGAAAAGAAAGAAAAAGAGCTAATTTATGGAAACACATTTTATGTATAAATTTTGAAATAATAAAAATTTATCATTATTTTTTTTTTGGTATTTTAATTTTTAACTAAATATTTTTGGGAATTATTATATTATTTCCTATTCGTAAATAATCGCAATTATTTTAAATATAATTTTTTTTTAATTAATATTTAATTACATTTTATTATTTTTCAATTTATATAAATTAAAATTCATAAAATATTATTTTATGTAAAGTGAGGTGGGACTACAAGTTCCCAAAAATACACGAAAAATTATATTATTTTAAAATTGTTATTTGTATATTTTGTTTTTAAAAAATAGATGCGTGTTTCATTTTTTTTTAGAGGAGATATAATATATCATCTGTAAAAAATTTGTCATTTGGGGCCAGATCTCAATAAAGCCTGCGCATGCCTATAAATCATTTTTATTTTACAAAACCTTTTTGTAATTCTGGTATGTGAACGCGTAGATGAATGGATTGTATACAGCAGACGTTTTCGCGAACATGGCCGGAAATAAAGTTACTATCGGCGTGATAATTGACGTCTTGCCGATCAGCGATATGACGAGCAGGCTTGCGTAAGGCCCCCAAGCTACTAAAAATCTAATATAGATGAAATAATAATTAAATTATATAGACTATAATTTTTGGTTTAGCAGGTAAATTAATTAGAAATGGCGATAATATTTTGAACAGAGTTTGAAAGGTTTGGACCTCTATTTGAAAAATCTAGAAGCTTATATAATATTATTTTGGTTAAAATCATCTTAATCGGACCGGTTTTTAAAAATCGATCCAAATTGAGCCGTCAACACCGGATAAACATTTATCCAAAGTCGAATATCTAACCGACAATCTTAGAGTTAGATATTTTGGAAAATTTTTCATACGACAAAATTATCATACTAAGAATAATTTAATTTTAAAACTTGATCAGTATATAATAATACTTATAAAAATATATTATCCATGAACAAGACAATTTACAATCTTTTATTCTTTGTGCCGAATAATGAAATTCAAATAAATAAATGATAAATATATGAAAATAAAACATAGCAAAAAAATTTATAAAGAGTCATTATAAATATTATATATTATTCATTTATAAATTATATAATAAATTAAATTTCTTACAATATTTTTAAAATTTTTCCGGAGGTGTACTGGGAAATATATATATTCCCTTCCCCACCGGCCAGCCTTTTAGTAGGGAGAAAATGGAGGGGAAGTATGGAAGGAAGGAAGGAAGGAAGGAAGGAAGGAAGGAAGGAAGGAAGGAAGGAAGGAAGGAAGGAAGGAAGGAAGGAAGGAAGGAAGGAAGGAAGGAAGGAAGGAAGGAAGGAAAGAAGGAAGGAAGGAAGGAAGGAAGGAAGGAAGGAAGGAAGGAAGGAAGGAAGGAAGGAAGGAAGGAAGGAAGGAAGGAAGGAAAAGGCTAAATTTAGCCATATTGTCATTATTATATTTAAATGAAAATTATTTAAAAGTTAAAAGGGTTAAAAAAAAATTAATAAGAATTATATTTTCCTTACCCAATCAGTAGATAAATGGACATTTTTGCGATTTTAATATTTAACGCGTATCCGCGTGGATGTACGAGATGTCTCGAGGCGGAGTTCCTATTCAATTGCAGGGTGATTTTTTTGTTTTTCATGAAGATCGTCCGAAATATGATGATATACGAGATCGTGATGATGGACAGTGGCGTCAAAAAGCAAAATATGAAGAGGCATAGGGCATAGGAAATAGTTGATTTGTCCTACATTGTATAAATTTAAAAAAATGTTTAAATATTAATTCTAATATCAATGATATGACAGCGTAACCCCCATAGATAAATTAAAAATATATCACTAAAAACATGATAAGATTTGGTTAACTTCAATACGTAAAGTATTTATAATAAACACAGGGGAAATACGGTTCTAATTTGCTATTAATCAAATGTCCTTATTTAGCTTTAGAGGAGTGCTATCAATTTAGCACCGAATAGGAGTAAGTCTGATGAATTTAAGAACGAGTGGATGAGATATTTTATTTTAAAATATTGTGAGATCTTGTAGAATTGTAACATGCTTACTAAGGGTAGATGTAAAGTCCCTAGAAGAAGATAAGAAGGAGTTTCTCGGCTAGGTAGGGGGTGGAGGCGGTATGGAGTCACCTCCAGGAAGATCCTTTAATTTTAGTTTGTTGTAATTTGCTTTATAACTAATTGGAAGTGAGTCGTCAGATGCTAATTAGCGGAGAGCGGATTGGATATTTAAAGGATTTATTTTATTAGAAATTTTTTAGGCTTTTAATTGGAGGCTCTTAAGTTTTTTTTAGAGGTTGCAGGGTGGTAAGGAAAATGAGAAATGTTTGAGTCAATCATCAAGAGGGAAAAGTTATTTAATATTGATTGAAGAATGGTAGAAAGGGTTTTGGCTACTTATAACCAGGAACCTTTAGGAATTCTAGAGATGACTGGGAGGTTTGTCAGATTTTTAGAAAGTTGAAGATGTTGGCATGAAGGAGGAGGGGGAATAAATGTGTCTGGCATTGGATGAGATAGAAGTATAACTATGAGTGGGAAAAAATGGAAAGGGATTTTTGGAAGGAAAAAGAAGGAAGCTTTTCGGATTCAGGACATAGGACGCCTTAGATTTTTTTGTTTTGTTGAAAAGGTCAGGGTTAATGATTTTTTATATTTTCTGAAACACGCGGGATAGCATTCCATAAAATGTCTAAGTGGAAGATTGTGACTTTGAATGAAAGGTGGGCACTCATGAAAGATAATGGGAAAAAAAGGAAAATTATTTTAGATACGATAAATGGAGATGTAATGTGTATAGATGTGTTGTTGATAGGTTTTAAGTTTTTATGGAGTCAAAAAAAACATTCTGAATTGTTTTTTTTTGTTTTTTATTAACTATTTTATATAGGGGATCATATATATATATATATTTATTCTAAACTGATCTTTCATTAAAAATATATTCGTTATTTTGGTTTTCCCACACAAAAAAAAACTTTATAAATTAAATTGAAATTCTAATTACTTTAGAAAAGTTTTCATAAAAAATTTTAATTGTAAATTATTTAGCATGGAAAAAAAACCAGATGGCATGTCAACCAGCAATGAATCGTTGTTCAGTTCGCATTGATAAGAATAGGCAAAAAAAGGGAAAACTTTTTTTAAACTGTTTTGAGGATATGGTATAACTCACTATTCCAAATTCTTTCATCTCCTATAAGAATAGAGATAACATAAGATTTATATTATATTTTATTAGATTTTCTAAAATCCTATGGAAGCCCTTTCATCTCCTTGAAATCGTCTCTAACGCATAAAGGTCGAAACATTTTAATCGATAAATAAATAGACTGAGTTAAAAGTATATCGAATAAAGAGCTTTTGTATTAAAAATATTAGTACAAGAGCTTTTTTATTCAATTATTTTAAAACACACTATACTATATTAATTATAAAAATTTTTATTCTATTAGATCTCCACGGTGATTCTTTATATTGCGTTTTACTTTGATATAGTTAAAAAAAATGAAAAAAATATATTTTTGTAATTTCAAATTTATTAATGTTATCATTCTCTCATTAAAAAATATATAATTATAACCTTGGCTAGAAAATGGATCAAATTTTTCAGATCGCGACCCCTACTTTTAAAATTACGTCAATTAAATAATTTCAATCCGTATTTTATAAATAGAGTTCTTAAGGAAAATTGATAATTGTGAGACAGCAAATGTATATAATATAATAAATCTATCATTATTAACATCATTGTTAATTAATATAATTAAATTATTTCTTTTTAAAATAATTTTGACTCTACCAAATTTTTTTTCACTCTCTCCTTATGTTTAGAGAGATAAAATTATCATTTATAAGAGGGATGACATGATGTGCACCTCAAATTACTGTAGCGGGTCGTGATACACTTCCATAAGATACACCTCCTCAATGTCATTTTGATGCGCTCTCTTCCTTGTTTACCTTGGTTATTGGGGTTGGAGATAAAACACATGAGTATAAAAAGTCATTACAATAACCCCAAGGTAAACAAAGAGGAGAGTACATCAAAAATTTACTAAAACAGCTGTCTGAACTCTAATAAGATCTATTCCGCCCCTTAAGGGTGGGAGATATATCCTAATACTAGTGTGCCAGATTTCGAGGTGGGAGTGGAGATCTCTGTCATAAATTTAATTTTTTTTTCTGTATTCTTAATATAAACTAACCCTACTGACGTAATTTATGGTGCAAGATGTGAGAGGACCTTCGAACACGTAAGAACTCCAAGCGCCCAGTGGTAAAAGACACCAGAAGAGACAATACGACCAAATGAGGATGATTATAAATATGGCCTGCTTGTAGTTGATTTTTTTGACCTTGAGGCTGTTTACGATGACAAACGCGCGATCGCACGCTATCGATGCTATGGTATTGATCGATAATAGGCCAAATAAGCCTCCAGTAAATCCGTAAAAGTTGCAACCTTATATAATAAATACGTTTTTATTTTATACTTAATGCGTTTTATCTTATTAGATGTGGTCAGGTTAATACGAGTCAATTTGTAGAGGTTCAATTTACATTATTTTATTGTACATGTTAGAGTCAATGAGTTTTATCCGGCAATATGCTATTTTAAAATCGAAAACTATAAAAAGTTCCTGGAAAAATTGTCTGAAATTTTATAGGGTAGGTGTTCCAAACATGATGGAACACATTTTTGAATTTTTAAAAAAACTCGCTCAAAAAACTGATAAATCATATTGACGTTAACATATATCGTCTGCCTAGAATTGGAGTTTTCCACTTGCCTTCTTCATCAATTTTGACAGAGCAGCTATAACTTTGGCAAAATAAATCAAAAATTTTTATTTTAATCTAGTTTTTATTTTTATAGAAAGTATATTGGGGAATAAATAAAGTTATTAGTGTTGTTAAATTGACTGACTTAAGCCAACTATAAAACAAGTGGAGCTCTGTATTCATCCAAAAATATTCAAATCAATCTTCAAGTTAAGACTCATCTTAGAAGCTTAATTCAATTTTTTTAAGCTTAAAAATTTTGAAAATGTCGAGTGGAGCACTCCAATTCTAGACCGATGATTATAATGTTATAAACATATTAAGACGACTTCTAGAGACCATCATAAATGATGTATTAGAATATTGTAAAATCATAACGTATTATTTTAACATTTATGCTAACATTTTAAGTAAATGGTTTACACTGTTTAAGACCTTAATTCATTTATCAATCTAAATAATCGATTATTTTTTTTTTAAAAAAAAATCTTAGGTAAATTTAAATTAGATTTTAATTAATATCGTATACATTAATAATATTATTATTGTCATATCAACTCTTTCTCGTATCTATAATATTTTAAAAAATAATGTATTTTCGAGTGTAATATAAAATGTAAATTTAATATTGATTGATTTGCTGTTTTAAATATTTTATTGATCTGTAAATGAATTGCGATAAAATAATTATTTTATAAAAAATAATAAAAATTTAATATATAATATATTTTTTTTTAAATTTCAAAATTTAAATTAACACAAGAAATTTTAAATAGTTATATATTTTTTATTAGAAATAATTTTGAGCTGATGATATTTAAGAGAATAGGCAAATTTTCGAAGGAGGCGATGAATCCCTCGCACATGTATGATTAATGGATAACTACAACGGCATATATATATATTTAATTAAAAAATGATAATTTTAATTCAGAACTGAAGTGCCTTGAGGTTCTGTATGTGAAGGAACATCAGCTTTGATTAAAAAATCTTAGATCATTTCATTAATTATTTTGTTACCTTGTATATTTGTTAACTATTGATGAGACAATGAGTAGATATATAGATTTGGGAATCACATATAACCCACAACAATGACAGTTGTAAAGTAGAAATATGTATAGGTTCAGCCTGATAGATGGAATAATACATCTGGATTCCTTATTTAAAGGTTAGTACATTGTTGGATGTTATCATGCCAGTAGGGTCTTAATCCTTATATAAACTCGTGGGTGAATTGTGCCGATAGATATATTAACCAGACCAACCTAACAAAGCATAGTTTAACAAGATTGTCCTCAAAAGATTAATTTAAGAATGAGATTTTTGTGTTTGTTGGAAAAAGTTTACCGGATTTTTTGGAAAGTAAATGGTTATAGAAAGTCTGATGGAAAGGTAAATATCCAAGAATATTCTCTCTTAAAATTAGATTGATACGATTTTGTTCTCAAAATGTTTAATTCCCAATATAATTTCCAGTTGATGAATTTCTAATTTTTTTTAATATCAATTAAAATACGATTAATGAATTGAACTTGTTTTTTTATGTCAATTGATAAATGAAAATCGCTGCCTGATTGACTGTTTCGCACTATCCTTTTATGCCAAACCATATTTAGTTTGATGTCAGTGATTCTAGGAATTTGGAGATAATTCTTCTTAAAACATCTTGTAGTAATTATTGCCTCAATTTGGGAGTAGTCCCATATTAACTATCAGGTTACAAAGATCGCTTGTTATCTATAATAGAATGAGAGAGCAAGATATGATACCCTAGAAATACTGGTCTGATATGATCCAATCCCCCTGTTGAGTATTTATTTATTTTTTTAAAAATCTAGATAGTTTCAGAAATTTTATTCGGAATTAATTTACAGATATCATTAATATCGAGAAAGGGTTTGTCAAAATCTTCCTCAAATTATTAAAAAATATGACTGGTTATTTCTAATTTAGCCAGAAAAATATAGCCTAAACCTCGCGATTTTGTTAATAGATGTCCTAACCTTTGTTCCTTCTACAAACAAAATCTTCAGACTTGCGCATTATTATTCTAGATGAAATGTTGAGTTAGCCGTTTAATCGGCTCAAAAAGAGTCATTTAACAACACTAGTTATTTCCTTTTTAAAAATAGTATATTTTTACTTTCATTTATTGAGTTTCTGATTGTATTTTTATGGTATTTGATTTATATTATTGTATACAATTTAACTATTGATTATAATTTTTTTCTTTTTTTTAAACATGGGGCCAATTAAACATGAATCTTTTAAACGTTTCCCTAAAATGCAAACCATTTTGGTTTAGGAATTCAATATTTCTATTAGTTATACCTTCAAACATTTTTATATCGATATTTAAATAATTTTGCGGTTAAAATTAGGATATGGCTAAAACGCCATGTTGGTTTTTCTATTTTGAATTTACGCTTTCGCGCTCATCTAGCCCAATCAGCTATAAGCAAACAGCTGGCACAATTTTAAATAAATGCTAAATTATCTCACTTTAAAAAAAAATCTAGAAAGTGATTGTTGATTTAAAGATCCCACATAAGCTTTCTTAAGAGAGGATAAATTACGAAATGTAGGATAATAAATCAAGCCAGCCTAGATTGCAGCCTTAAACCTTTAGCGGGTTTATAGTAGAGGCCGCTAAATCGCTTAGTGCATAATTGTTAATTTTATTGGTAAACGAATAATTTACGCAAGCAAAAATGTGTTCTAACACATTATTTAAGTTAGGATAAAATAAACTGTTCATGAAGTAATTGTATACCTCGTGAAGGAAACTTAATTTACATGTAGCTATATTTGTTTATATCAGTAATAATTTTTGTTTTTTTACTATCTAATATACCCAGATCTTTAAGGTACCAATTTTTTCTGAATATCGCGATTATGCTGAGAGGGCAATTGGATAATAGGATCATGGAATCGCTGAACACCAAATTTAGGAGTAAGAGATTTGACGGAGTGCGTAACGATTTTGTACTTTTATAAATATTATTTATTTTTTTATAGGTATATAAAAGATTAAAAATTAATGCTATAGTAATGCATGTTTTATTACTAGCTAGCATTGGCGTACGCAGCGAGGGAGGGGCAAAGCCACAAAATGCAGATGCCGGATTATATTTTTCAAAAATATTATTGTTAATATTAATTTATATTTGCTAATATTTATTCCTATCTCATATATATATATTTAATTATATTTATTTATCACATTCATCGACTAAGTTATTTTATCATCAATTAATTTCGATTTCAAGTTTTCCTATTTACCTATTATTTTCAAATTTTAGTGGCGTAATATTTATCTAAAATTCTAGTCAATTAATAATTATCTCTGAAACTCCTTGCCTAACAGGGAGAAAGAAATTGCAAGCTTGTCCAACGAGATCGAGTCTCCACCAAGCAGTAACAGCTTTTATGGAGTTAGAAGAGCCGATATAAAATTAAACCCTATTAAAATAAAAATTTCATAATTGTGTTCCCAAAATAATGGCTTGAAAGAAATATTTCATCAGAGGCAAGAAAATTATTGGATTCAATACTTATTCCAAATTTTTTTCTCATTAGAATGTATTATTTAATTATACAACTATTTTATGTAATACTTTTCAAAAACATAACATTGACTTGATTAAGAAGATGAGAATAGCGGAGAGCATTTTATTAGAACTCAAGGAAATTAGAGCTAATGTTGATGAAGAATTTCATATTTTATATGTTATTGTTGAGTCAAAAGCAGAGCTATACGTGTTTAATATTTGTCCCTCTCGACTTGCAGCAAGCAAGCTCATCGTTAAAACATTAATATAGGATCAGTAGAAGAGTATTATATAGCAAATGTCCCCTCTACCAACTTTTTTCATATGGTGATAGAAAAAAAATATAATAATTTGTTAGATTTTTATCATGAAGATGTTAAAATATCTTATGATGCCTTATTAGCTTAATAACTATGATTAAAAGATTAACTATGGTTGATACAGTCCCAAAAAATGCTATGGATGCATTGCATTATTTCAAACACATTTTAGATTATATTCCCAATGTATTAAAATGGTTATAAATATATTAGCAACTCTTCCCATTAGTAAACTAATGAGAGAACATTCTCTTTTTTAAGAAGAATAACAGAGCCTTGCAGAGGTACCATTTGCAGGACACGGCCCAGATTCTTTTTAAAAAATTTTTCCGGCCAGGGTTTTTTTTAAAAAAATTTTCAGGCCCAGCCCGGGTGTTTTTTTTTAAAAAATTAAAATACGGTCCGACTCTGGGGCCAGGCCTGCAAGTCTGTGAAAAACATACCTATGAAATACAACATCTGAAAGTAGATTGATTGATTTGGATCTTTTGAATATTCATAGGCATTTAACGCCAAGCAAGGATAGATAATCGAAAAATTAGCTCGAAACATACAAAGTACAATTATTCCTTAGGAACTTTTTGTGTATTAATTTTATATTTTCCAACATTTAAATTTTTTATACTTTACATATTTTAAAAGCTCAAAAAATTCAAATTTCAATTTTGGGTAATTTAAGTGATTCATATCGTGGGTTATATTCATGATTCACATTTACTTTATAGTTTTTCAATGCCGGTTTATATACATTATTTTTTAAATTTCACATTAGTTTAAATGTATTAGAAAAGTTATTAGTCCTAATAAATTTACGCTTAGTATTTTTAATTAACAATAATATTTCTTAAAAAAAAAATTATTATCCCCCCCCCAAACCAAATTCCTGCGCAAGCGCCTGCTAGCTAGTGTTTGCTAAATGGCTTGATTTGAGCATAAATCAGAAAAATATTATTCAAGCCCCTAAAGATTTTGCTAATAGACGGCACAAAGGTTTGAACATATGTTAGCAAAATGAGGAGGCTTAGGCTATATCGTTCTGGCTAAAATATTGAGTTAGCAGTTTTTTAGAATCGGCTTAAGCCAGGCCATTTAGCGACACTATCTAATACTAATGTTAATTTTTACTTTTAGGAGTGATATCTCTTGTTAATAATTGCTTCGAACACTAACCGATTAAAAACTCTCATACATGAACACATCTTATGGAAAAAAATTCTGACAAAATTCTATTGTTCATCATTGCACAAAATTTTTCAAGATTATTTTCATCTTTACTACCTAATGGTTAAAAAAAAAATTATATTAAAGTTTTGCAGGGCTTGCCGGTCAGTTATGGGCGATGTGAACGCCATCAACGAAGGTCCGATGGTCCGAATATCATAATTATAAAATGAAAGTATTTTTTAAATAAATTTACAGACCCGACCTGGCCCGAATTTTTTTTAATGTATTAGACCCGGCCTGAACCCGGCCTGAACCCGATTATTTTAAATAGAACCGGCCCGGGCCGGGTACGGGTCGAGCCTAACTTTGCAGATCTCTAATTCACATATCATATTTTTTGTTTAGTTTAGGCTGTGTCCAAAGTATCAAAAAAATTTAATCGCGCAATTTGCGCAAATCTAGCGAAAAAAAAAATATAAGCCATTTTTAATGGAAAAATTAAAATTTTGGCCTAAATCATTTTTTGGTATTTATAGAAATTTGAAAAAATCATTTAGGTCAACATTTTAATTTTCCATTAAAAATGGCTTATATTTTTTTTTTCGCTAGATTTGCGCAAATTTCGCGATTAAATTTTTTTGATACTTTGGACACAGCCTTAATCATCAATAAATTATCAAAGTAAATGGCCGAATATTTAAATTTAAGGCGTAAAAAATTAAAATTAGAGAATTAGAAATACTTCTTCTTTTTTTTTTTGAATTTTTAAGATTTTTGACCATATGTTTAGGTCCTTTTATTTATCAAAATTCTCTGTTCGGGTCGGGTCTCGGTCCTAGCGTACAATAATGATGTATAATGTAATTTTACCTAGAAAAGATCCAAAAGGCTATAACGTTTCCAGAGACACCGATTATCATGACGAAAATCATGAAAGAACCAACTGTATAATGGATCCAGTTAGGAATTGGCGGGTAGGAAATTAACCAATAAGCGAATAGTTTACCCGTATTGCAATTAAGTAATTGGCGGGATAAATTGGCCAATGAAGGTAAAGGATTACTACCATTTCGTTTACTAGTTAGACTGTACAGGTATTCATAATCGTTCAGTAATTCGCAAGAAGTGAAATTCATCATGAATTCGGCAAATAAAAAAATAATTTTTTAAAATAATATTTATTATATTATATTTTCAAATTATATTAAATATTTTTTTTTATTTTTAAAAAAATGTATTCTTATTTGTTTTTAAATATATTTTATTTTGATATAGTTTATATTGTATTTATTATATTGTTTTTAAATAAAATAATTTAACATATATAATTTTTTTTTTTTTAATTAAATTTATTCAACCGAATTAAATATAAATTAATAATATTAATATTTATTCGGGGAGAACCGAGCTAACGAGAGTGACTAGTTAACAATGTTAAGCATGAATAAATTTGTAAATTTTATTAAAGCATAAAGATCTTAAATTTGGTTGTAAAGATGCATTTTATATATTTTTATCTAGGTTTCAACTTGTTAATTCCTCCATCCGCCATATTTTTCCCAAAAATATTCGCTTATTGCTCCAAAAATTACTATCCAATTATATTTTTTTATTTTGCTTTCAGCAAATTCATCCTCGCGAATTTTGAAAATTTTTATACATGTTCCCTAGCTACAAAATAAAATTTTATCTGAAATTTTTAACTTAATTAGAAATCAAGCTAACTATATATATAATATATGCTTAAGGTAAAGTTGATGGATAAAAGATTAAAGGCGAAAAATATAAAATTTTGAAAAATTAATGTCTACAAAACATATAAAAAAAATATATTTTTCGAAACACATTAATAATTTAGTATATGGAATAAAATCTAAAAAAAATATGCTTAGCTGAATAATAATAGAAATGTACAATGTGTCTAAATATAGCGCATTTAAGATGAGCTATATTTATCGACATTCTCCTATTGAATTGAGTAGTTCATATTTAAAAAATAATAAACAGAATATAAAATTGTATTGTGTTCAATAAAAACTACAATTGAATAACCAATGGGGCTCGGCCATTTACCTTATGGGAATAAAATGCCCCAAAAAATGGAACATTTCACGTTATTAATTATAGTTTCTGGAAAACTAAATCCTCGTTCACTAGTTGCGGGAATTGCCCATATTCTTCTTGCTAATCTTGATAGCTTTGGAATCTCTTTCTTGTTTCCACCAAAGTAGTTTTACAAAAAAATGTTTATTTATTTTAAGAAAAAAGTTCATATAGAAACAATTTTTTATTAATATTTATTTAAATAATTTAAAATTTTTTAACCCGCCCGCCCATAGTTTAAAATTTTTTTTTCGCCCAATGCAGACCTCTAGTATGGGTTATGCCGAATAGCGTGTTTCTTTATTAACTCAATATGGCCATCATTTCTTGGTTTTTCAGAATTTTGATTGATCCCTTTGGCTATGAAATACAAATTGATAAGAAAAATTACCCATATGGACTAGAATATTTCAAATTTTAGTTATACATTATAAAGGAAAGTGAATAAATAATAACTGCTTAATGAATGGCATCTTTAACCTTTTTACAATAAGTGAAAAGGGAACTAAGTATAGAATAAATTGTGAATTCATAGTATTAAATAAATGTTTAGATTATATTGCGATTGAAAGAGAAACATATGTTCGCTCTCCCTTCCAATGAATTTGCTTAATTTATGATTTAAAATGTTTAGAAACCTATAGGGCTATTTTAGTGTTTACTATAAATTTAGCTTAAATAATATTATAGGGAAGATAGGGTTTAGTAAATAACATGAAAAGTTCGAAAAAGGAAAAAACTTGAATCACAAATGTTAAACAAGAATTAATATATAATGGTTATTATATAGCGCAAATTTTTGTATGTTACATTCATTTAATTAACATCATTTACATTAACTTAACTTAATAGTTTCATTTAATTGTTTAATAGATCTTTTGTATATATAAAGAATAAATTTATTATATTTTTTTAGTTGTAATTTTTATAAAAATATATTTATTTAATAAAGTTTTGTAATTACTTTCTTAATTTTGTTCTTATCCCTGCCAACCTTATCAACAAATGATAGGGCTAGGTAAACCGAGATTAGCTTTGGAAAAGGATTTATAGTTACTGAAGAATTTAATCTTAAATACGAGCATATATGGGTTTGTAAGCATTACGAAAGTTCTTTTAATATCTATAAAAACAAATATTATTACATTTAAAAAAAAAAATTATTTGTTAATTTAGATGAGATAACAAAAGTTAATGATTCATATTAATTATATTATAATAAATTAATAAGTTATTAAGTAGGGCGGCTTGGATTATGCCAAAGGTATCCAATAGGGTGACTTATTTGGACCAATTTTCTTTTATCTATGAATAGCTAAATTTGATAGGAGACATCAATGCCCATTGCGAGCTTAAATTTGCACTCTTGATATATTGATAATTGAATAATAGCCGGCTCGTCCGACTAAGTCTTCATGACAATAATAAAATCCTCTAAAAACATAGGTCTAAAAATAAATCCTCTAAAGAGTGAATACTGTTCCCTGAACAGCAATGTTCAAAGTGATTTCAGGTTTAGCTGTACATTTCACATAGGGTCTTAGGCATTGAAGACTTCTTCACTAAATATTTTGCAGATACTTCAAAGGGTCTAAAATAATTACATAAAATCCTACTGCATCTCCCGAGGCATCAATCCTATTTCCTGCTTAAGAAATATCTTGTAATTCCGAAGATTCTTTATATCCTACGATCAACACATATTTTTCAATATCCTGCCATTTTTTATACCTAAGAACAAGGTATCAAAATATTGGCATAACACCCGTCAATCTTAAGTCTGGAGAATTATCTTGGCTAAAGACTTTTCTGCCAACCAAAGCAGATGGAATAGGAATACGATCACCTCTCCTACTCTGTCAGTCTTCATATCTTCGCGTTTATCGCGTGACCTAATCATCAGCAAATTAACGATCTCACCCAAATCCTCTATTCTTTCAGACCTTCAATCTTTAAAAGTCCTCTTCTTAAGTCGATCCTCCTTCAACGTCATTGAGAAGATTGGGATTTACTCTTGATTGATAACTCCATCGCATTTCTCAAATCGAGAAGTCAAATTGTGGAACATTCCCTTCTCTTTATAATTTCATCGGGAAACGGTTTTGAATTATTTGAAGCCATCCCTTCAAATAATCTTGATCTACCACTTACAAACAATGAGCTAGGCATGCCATTTGACTAAAGAGAGTTATACCATACTCTTGTTCAATTTTTCAGACTCTTGTTTCTCTACATTGCAAATGATGTAGAACTAGATTCCTAAGACCTATATGACACTTATTTCGTACCTTTAAATCTGCTGGAATTCCTTCAACCCTTGAGCTGACTAGACTTTGTAACGCAGTAAACGTCCAGACGGTTTATCCAAGATTCCATGGAAGAGTGTTAAATTCTTAACCTTAAATTTTTAGCGCCCTCTAACCTAACCCATGATGCAATTGTCGATGCTGAACGAAATAAATCTGCCAATTATTCTTCAGTTTTACCTCCCAACCATTTATTTATACTAATAATTGCGACAACGCTAACTTCTTTGGCACTCACGCCCTAGTCTTCTTCACGGATCTAAGGCATCGCGTTACATCGAAGACCAAAATATACTTTAAGGCTCTTCTACCTCAGATAAGTAAAAGCAATTAATATACAGTTTCCTATTCTCTGTTGTTGGATAAAAAAATTCATATAATTTATTATAAAATCAAATGTAAATATAAATATATATTTTGAGCACAATTTAGCTACATATATCTGCGTAATTTTTTATACACAAGTTAATAGAACCTAGATGTTAAAACTAACCTTTTTTTTACCTAACTATTTTTCTTTTCTTCCATTTCCTTCCCCGATTACAAACCTTTTCCCCTAAGGAGTTTTTGAAATCAGAAGATTATCCTCTTATTAAGAAGAAGAAAAAGTATTTTTATACACTTCATAATCGGTATGGTTGATACGAGATCCATATCCGTGTCTGGCTCAGACAAGTTTGAGAAAATGTCTTTCGGAGGCCGATCCATCTAGTTCTATTGGTGGACAAGAAAAGCTCTACTATAGACTATTAATATAATTTTACAAATTTTGAGAGAAATTTAATATTTTTAATTGTTACTCTATCATTAACATTTGGACACATATATTATCTAATTTTTTACATGTTTTTCTGCAGGAGAATGACATATAAAAAAAATAGCTTTGAAATTTTTTTAAAAAAAGAAGATATTCCTAATTATTTGATTATATATTTTTTTAAATATATATATAATTTTAATAAAATTGAATAGTAGATGCATAATTAATTATTTTGGAATATGGTTGAGAAGATATGTAAACTAGATATCTGCAGAGATAAGCTAGTGCACCTAAATTTGCTTTGAACTGAGTCGGGTCTAAAACTAGAACCGGGTCAGGTCGAACCTAAATTTTGAAATAAAATTGATATATTCTAAACTCTTAGGAACAAGGCCAGCATTTTTTTTATTTGCTTAATAGAATGATCAAAAACTCGATTACTTTCAATATAACTTTCTTTCTTTCTTTCTTTCTTTCTTTCTTTCTTTCTTTCTTTCTTTCTTTCTTTCTTTCTTTCTTTCTTTCTTTAATCTTTAATTTCTATACAATTCGGTCAAGCGGATAAAATGTCTTTATTTATGTCGCGCTTTTCGGTACAAACAAAGGGTACAGAGCCGACAATTTTATTCCTATCCCCTCGGCAAATAGTGCAGATAGAAATCCTGAAATCCCTGGTTTCCCAAATCTTCTAGGATTTTCCATTCCTGGGTTTATCATTCTTTTCAAAATTTTTTGGCCGTACTGATCTTGAAAAATTAGGGCCCGATACAATAATAATAATTTTTAATAATGATCTTAATAATAAGTATCGACCATCTTATCAACAGATTCTTCTCTAGCCATGCTGCCATCCTATTTTACGCTCCTATCAAAACGGTCTTTCCGATTGGCCAATCGCGTACTACCATTAGACAAGCCCAAACCAATAAGCTAATGGGTTTAAATTTTGAAAAACAAATTTAATTCA